AATTTCAATAAATTCCTCAATCTTTTCAATTCTTTTTACTACTACCTTTTTTAAAGTCTGGATATCCTGTCCAGTCTTCTGTTCTAATGTCTTCACCAAGGATTCCAAGGTATGAAACTTGTCCAGTATAGATAACGTCTCATTCTTGGACATATCATATTTTTCAACAGATTCTGATAGTTAAATTAAACAGCACAAATACTTTCAGATAATTTTGTCAAATTGATGAAGCTAATTCCTAGAATCAAATAAAGGGATCTAGAAGGAAAATCACATAAGCCTTGTAGAATACCATCCATAGTAGAATCAAAATAATTATTGAACTCCTGGATGTTATCAGTTATTTTCTTGTAGTTCTTCAGATCTTACATGTTGTAAGGCAATTACAATCAATTGGAGTAGGTGTAATAATTGTTATTGGCCAGTAGGTGTTGCAGTTGTAGCCACATGGCTAGAGACACTAGCAACAATAAACAGCATGTGTTGCTTACTTAGGTACTGAAAAAATTCTTTGTTTAACAAATTAAGAGCAGTTATTAAGGCGATCAAATGATTCTGAGAGTTGGGGCCCAGGTTAAAGAAAAAGCCCAAAGTTTTCCATCAGTGCAAGTTGTGGACTATGTGCACTGTAGGGACTGCAGGCAGCAGTGTGTGGGCTGGCATGAAATGCACTGTGGGTTGCAAGCTGGGGAGTGCTGAGCAATAGCCACGTGCTGCATCTGAGGACTGGCTAGAGCCACGAGAGATTGTCAGTGCCTAATGTGCCGTGCGAATAGCAGACCGATCCCAAAAAGTGTGGACTGGTTCCCATGTTCAGGTGCCAGATGATGGCAGAAGATACAAAATAATACCACACTAGTTCAGAATTACATATAATAAAGGGTTATTTATTTAGGGGAGATTTACAGATCATTGTCCTAGATCACAGTCCTCTGCACAAATTGGGAACAGGAACAGAGTCTAGCAGCTGGAAGCTAGAGCCAGAAGCAAGAACCAGAAGCAAGAGAGTGAACACACGCTTTACAGCTGCATTTATAGTATAAGAGCCCATGCTTAAGTGGGCTGTTATCTTAAAGGCTATTGGCTGAAGGAGCTAAAGGAGCTCCCACAGCACTGGTCTATGACAGAATATTCAAGACGAGTATTGGCAGTGGTCCAGTCTTCATGGTGCTCCTGCCATCAGAAACCTTGGCCAGTTCAGTGACTCATTGTAGCAGTTTCCAATGCCATTACAATGAACAAATACACAGTGGAGAGGAAGGAAAGATAATGAACAGATAGGTACCTTTGCAGTGGAGAGAGGGGGATCTAGAGAAGCAACAATGGTGACAAGCGTTAGTGAAGGCTACAGTAGACCTCCATGAGTACAACCACCAGAGTGGTGTGCAGCCTCCGAACATACTGCCCAGCCACACGATTGCCCTACTTGTGAGCAATGACAGGATATCCAGAATGAAGAATGTTTATTTTTTAGATTGAACCTCCTTGAAAGACCCCCGGAGGCCATGTTGGTATCTGTGGTCCATACTACTGCTCCAGGCCAAGTCGAAGCCTGAGGTTCATATGGACAGCTGCTGCTGGAGACCTTGTTTAATCTCTAAGGCCTGAACTACCTCCAGAAACCTTGTTGATGTGTGTGACCTGTACTGCTGCCTGAGGCCATGTTGATGTTCATGGACCATACTGCCCCTGTGGGCTGTGTTGGGGTCTGTGGTCCTCCTGAAGCAGGGGCTATATTGATGTCCCTGGCCTTTGTTACCATCAAAGGCCATGGGTATCCATGGTCTGTGCTGTTGACTGAAGCTATGTTGATGCCCATGAGCCATGTTGCTACCAGAGGCTATGTTGATGTCTGTGACTAGTGCTTCCACTAAGGATCATGATGGTATCTAGACCATGTTGTAGCCAAGGGCAGTGTTGATATCCATGATCTGTGCTCCCACTAGAGGTCATATCAATGCCAGTGGTCCATGTTATCACCAGAGGCCATGTGGATGCCCATGGCCTATTCTGCTACCTGAAGCCATGTAGATGCCTGTGGGCTGTACTGTCTCCAGGGGCCATGTTGCTGTCTGTGGCCCATGTTGCTGTGAGAGGCCATGCTGATGTCTGTGGCCTGTGCCTCTATAGGGCTATGAATGTGTATATGGTCCATGCTGTGGTCAAGGCCTATATTGATGTCTGTGGTCAGGGCTGCTGCTGGGAACCATGTTGAGGTCATAGTCAGTGCTGCCACCAGAGGCCAGACATGTGGATGTCTGTGGTCTGTGTGGCCATCTGAAGCTATGTTGATGTCCATGAGCTGGGCTGCCACTGAGGAACATATTGGTGTCCATGGCCTGTGTTGTCCCAGAGGCCATGTTGGCATCCATGGCCAGTGCTGCTATCAAGGGCTGTGGTGTTATCACCAAAAGTCATGGGGATGTCTGTGGTCTGTGCTGCCACCAGAAGTCGTGTTGATGTCCATAACCCATGCCATAGCCAGAAACCATGTGGATGTCTTTGATCTTTGCTGCTGCTGACTATAAAGGGCAAGGGAGCTTCTTTTGCCGTGGTGTCAATGACTGCAGACTCACATGTCCTGGGAGATGTAGCAGAGCATTGTATCTGGCTTGAATTCTGGAGTGTTAACACCTAAGCTTTGAACTGCCTTCTGTGATGCTATCTTTTGTGACTGTCACCTTATGTTTGAAGGGTTAGATTCTTATTTTAGCTCTTCTTGAATAGTTGGAAGCCTTTGTAAAATTGGTTACTAGAGGACTTGGAAAACCAAAAGTTCTCATGACTGAGAATTGCTGGGGCATTTGGTTCCTTCACACAACTCCAGATAAGAGGTTTTGGTGTGCTGAAATTGACTTGCTAAGAGGCATAAATTGTATAACAATTAAAAAGGCCGTTTGAGAAGCAGTCTGTTCACGGGAAGCTGCCTCCCCTGCTGCTGCTAAACCTGAAATTCATGCTTCAGTGACCATAATGCTCCTGTGACCGCCTCTCGTTCCCACCCCAGGCCCCCAAAAGAAACAGTCTAGACACAAAGCTATTGACGAGAACTCCTAAAAATTGTGATAGAGTTGCTGAAGTGTAGCTCTGCATAGTTGATGGCTTCTGTGGGGTGGGTGGGGAAGGACTCAGTTTGATTTACGGGACTGGCCACTGGGTGTTTGGCCGTGCTGCAATGAGTGTGTGAGCAACACAAATTGAACTTGGTGTTTTCTTCTTTTCCTTTGAGGAGGTTACAAGGGTAGGTACGGGATAGACCTGGGAGTACTGGAAAGTGAATGTGATCAGGGTGCATTATGTAAAATTTCTAAATAATCAATAAAAAATATTATGTTAATAAAAGTGTAGTTAAAAAGAATAAACAAGGGCTGGAGAGATGGCTCAGTGGTTAAGAGCATTGCCTGTTCTTCCAAAGGTCCTGAGTTCAATTCCCAGCAACCACATTGTGGCTCACAACCATCCAAAATGAGATCTGATGCCCTCTTCTGTCCTGAAGGCAGACACACAGACAGAATATTGTATACATAATAAATAAATTTTAAAAAAAGAATAAACAAATCAAATTTGGAAAAATGTGTTTAAATTTGATTTCTGCTCCATTTTCTCTTTTTAATTAACAGTTGTTTCTATCATATTTATTATGTGTCTGTGTGGGTACCAGTTGTTTTATCATATTTATTATGTGTCTGTGTGGGTATCTATAATGTCAGAAGCACTCTGAGAAAATCAGCTCTCTCCTTCACCAGGTAGGTCCCAGGAACTGAACTCAGGTCTTCAGGCTTAGCAGCAAGCACCCATCACTGAGCCATCTCTGACTCGCTCCATTTTCTCTAGGAAACCAGCTATGTGTGTGTGTGTGTGTGTGTGTGTGTGTGTGTGTGTGTGTATGTGTGTGTGTATATATATGCTTATATATACACACATACTACCCTTCTTAATGATTATCTCTTAGGTAAGGAATTCTATTTTGATATTTTCTCAATTATTTTCCTCCTTTTCATATAAGATGATGAGAATTTTATTTGATCTCTTATTCTTTGTGGCTTAGTCAGCTGATAATTTTATCCAGCATATTTTTTATTTCACATGGGTACTTTTTGGTTTGGTTTTTTTTTTTTTTTTTTTTGAGATGGGGTCTTGCTATGTAGCCCACAACACCCCTGCCTCTGTCCCATTATACCTGGTTCTCAAATGCAGCCTTTTTTTTTTCTTTTTTTTTTGAGACTGGTCTTCTATGTAACCTAGGCAGGTCTTAAACTCACTCTGTAGTCCAGGATGGCTGAGAACCCATAGTAATCCTCTGCCTCGGTCACCCAAGTACTGGGATTATGACATGCACCACTATGCCTAGCTCAAATACATGCTTTAAAGTTCTAGAATGTCAATTGTTTTTGTAATTTCTGTTGCTTGACTAAGAATTCCTACTTGTTCATTCATTTTTACAGCATTTTCTACTAAATCTTTTAAAGTCTTGTTTATCTCCTCTAAAATCTTATTTATAGGTTTTCTGAATGAACATCACATTGTCTCAAAGGGGCATAAAGACAAGTCAGTGTGGTGGTGTAAATAAGAGTGGCCCCCATAGGCTTGTATATTGGATTCTTAGCCATCAGGCAGTGGCACTGTTTGAGAAGGATTAGGAGGTGTGGCCTTGTTGGAGGAAGTGTGTCACTGGGGCCAGGTTTTGAAGTTTCAAAAGACCAAGCCAGGCCCAGTGTCACCTTTCCTGCTGCCTGCTGATTAGAATGTAGTTCTCAGATATTTCTCTAGCACCATGTCTGCCTGTATGCTTCTGTGTTCCCTGCCTCGATGATGGTGGGCCAAACCTCTGAAACTGTAAGCCAGCCCCAATTAAATGCTTTCTTTTGTAAGAGTTGCCATGGTCACATGGTGTGTCTTTACAGCAATAGTAGAGTGACTAGGACAGTCAGAGTTTGTTAGAGGAACAGAACCAATGGGATGAACACAAACACAAAATTCAATTCTGTTTATTTAGAGAACCCTGATGAATACAGTTCCCAATGGTGCAATAGTGGTATTTTCACCTTGGGGTAATCAGCAACTGTCTAATTGGATTAAGCCCTGTTCAATAGAAGGGATTTCATGCCTGGTTCTGTAAGCCTGACTGGAGAGGTCACAGACCCTTGAGGAAAACCTACTCCTGCCATTAGTCCTAAAGCAATCTACTTTCTAACCATATTCTTTATGTATATCCTTACACCCACAGACAGACGCAGCTTACACCACCCATCAAATGAGCTTCTTTCTTCAACAGATGGAGGTTACCACAGAGATGCACAATGGGCCAAAAAACAGACCATAGTGCCCAGCCCCAACCGTTCTACCTAAGGCTTGGAGAACTTCACGGCAGAAAGATTATAAGAGTCAGAGGACTGCAATGCCTGCTTCAAGATAAATGTCTTCTAGATACAAGGACTTTGTGCCCATGAAATCTCAATAACATGGCTGCCTAAACAAGACCGACACAACTACAATACCAGTCAACGTTCCACTGTGAATGGGGGAGCTGCGGCAGATCCCACCCCGAGAAGATGAGCTAGTGGTAACTGATAGCGCCGAGAGAGGGAGGACCTGTGCTTTTGCAGGGATGAGCTCCCTGTCGGGTTATCCAGTTCCAGCTGGCATCCCTATACATGTATAAACACATGTATACATAAGCAACACTAAGCAGACTCAGTAGATTTTATGTATGTATGTAAATGTATATGTTTAATTTATTTATAGAAGAGGTAAATTTGAGAGGGAGTGTGGAGGGAGACAGAAGGCAGTAGAGGGTAGAACAATGTAAATACAATAGTCATGTATGAAATTCTCAAACAAATACATTTAAATAAAAAACAGTCAAAATCAAGTCTTCTGGTTATGAAAAATAAATTTCAGCATGTGAATTGTTAGGATCATAACCACCTGATTCTTTCATCATCAAGAGACTGATGACATCACCACCCACAAAGACTGGAATAATCCAAACACTCCACATTCCAATGACCGGAATAACCAAAGTGTGAACGTGTAGAGTGGCAAGCTGGCACACTGAGCTAACTTACTTCAGGCCATCCTCCCTTTTAAGATGCTCCATCTGCCTACTCCAACTACTGTACCATGAATGTTGAGGTCTGATGAAGAACGTGTATGAAATTATTTCATGATCTGGACAAAATAACTGGTGAGAGTTTGTGCTTAATGTCAACTGAACTGAGTGGCAGCTAGTTCCTTTTTCTGCATGAGATAATTTCCTTTGGGGTGGATTAAACAATGGAATTTTGTAACTTTTTAAAATGACTTTTCACTGGGCATGATGGCGCACATCTTTAACCCCAGCACTTTCGAGGCAGAGGCAAGAGGATCTCTTGAGTTCTAGGTATCCTGGTCTACATAGTGAGTTGCTGGCCAGCTAGGGCTACACAGTGAGACTCTGTCTTTAATAAGGAGAAAGATTTTTATTACATTTATTTGTGTGAATGTGTTTTGGGGGAGTATGTGTATATGCACATATGTGGAGGTCAGAACCCAACATGAAAGAGGTGGTTGTCTCCTTCTACCATGTGAACCTGGAGCTTGAGCTCAGGCCTTTTGGTTTGGTTTCTGAGCTAGGATCTTACTATGGCTTCTAGACTGGCCTCGAGCTTGAAGGTCTACTCTCATCTCTGCCTTCATGAGCACTAGAGTTACAGGGATACATTGCATGATTGGCTAGGTTGTGTAAGCTGCAGGCTAAAATCCAAGGTGACTGTATAGATAACCTAAACTTTATAGTTGAGCCTCCAGGGAGCACTCTAAACCAATTTTAACCAATTTTATATGCAGCCACTCTTGAGAAGGGGCATAAGTCATGTGCTGTTATCAGTCCCCGTGTTGTTCTTGTTGTGATCATCACAATGCCACATGCCTAAAAACAATTAGTTTCCTTCCTAAGTGTACAAATCGGTAGACACAAAGCTGAAAAGTCTGGGTATTCAGGACTCAAGGGGGCAATGGGGTAAGGGATTAGGGGAGTTGTAAGTGTTTTTATGTAGAAAGACATTCAAGGAGCTACAGAGCCTTAACTGCTAGTCAGGGTCACTAGGACGAAGCCAGAGAGAAGTAGAATTTCCCACAGCTTATTATGTGTACACAGGGTTCCCCACAACTTATTCTGTGTACACAGGGTTCCCCACAGTGTACTCTGTGTACACAGGGTTCCCCACAGCTTACTCTGCATACGCAGGGTTCCCCATAGCTTACTCTGTATAAATGGGGTTCTCCACAGCTTACTCTGTGTACACAGGATTCCCCACAGCTTACTCTGTATACACAGGGTTTCCCACAGCTTACTCTGTGTACATAGGGTTCCCCACAGCTTATTCTGTGTACATAGGGTTCCCCACAGCATATTCTGTATATACGAGGTTCCCCACAGCTTACTCTGTGTACATGGGGTTCCCTACAGCTTACTCTGTATACACAGGCTTCCCCACACCTTGCTCTGTGTATGTGAGGTTCCCAACAGCTTACTCTGTATACATAGGGTTCCCCATGGCTTACGCTGCATACACAGGGTTCCCCACAGCCTACTTTACATACACAGGGTTCCCCACAGTTTACTCTGTGTACACGGGGTTTCCTGTTGATGGAGAGAGGGTCCACTTGTTTTTCCCAGCCACCCAGCTAGATTACACCTGAAATAATCACACAGAAACTGTATTAATTTAAACACTGCCTGGAACATTAGCTCTAACTCCTTCTTGGCTGACTCTTACATCTTAGTTTAGCCCATTTCTATCAATCTGTGCATCACCACGAGGTCATGGCCTACCAGAAAAGTTTCAGCACATCTGCCTCCGGGCACGGATCCATTGCATCTCCCTGACTCTGCTTTCTTTCTCCCAGCATTAAGTTCTGTCTTCTCTGCTTACCTAAGTTCCACCCTATCAACTAGGTGAAGGCAGTTTCTTTATTCATTATCCTATGAAAGCAACACACAAACAGAAGGAACTCCTACACCAGTTCCCCATAGCTTATTCTGTGTACATGGTGTTCCCCCCCAGCTTGCTTACACTGTGTATACAGGGTTATCCACTGTTCTGTATCTACTCTTTAGATAGCACTAAACTTATTCAACTCTAATCTTCTTTTTACTCCAGGAAAAGAATGAGATACAAAATATCAATCCTGTTACTATTGGTTTTAATGTCTCTGTGTGCCCTGTATAGAGAATATCATTTCAGGTAAATGGGAAAACTTAATGTTGTATGTTTATATGTGGTAAAAATCTGGTGAGTCAGAAAGTTAACAGGATTGCCCCTTAAGTAAATCCACAGCCAAATGCATAAATCCAAACATACACAAATTATATTCAAGTGGATCTTGACTATAGAGCCCCTGTCACCACCTTTTGTTTCTCATTATGTCAAAGACTTTTTAAGAGTGCTGTAGATGGCCATGCATGGTGGCACACACCTTTAATCCCAGCACTTGGAAGGCAGAATTAGGCAGATCTGAGTTGGAGGCTAACCTGGTCTACAGAGCAAGTTCCAGAATAGTCAGGGATTTGCAGAGGAAACCCTGTCTCAAAAACAAAAGCAAAAAAGCTGTAGGAGAAGCAGTGTGAGGCTACCACCTCCTGAAACAGATGACATCTTTAAGGAAAGAGGTCCTACTGTTGATGACTTAAGGTACAAAATGTGTAGTCACTCCATAAATGTGAAACAAATAGACTTCCTAGTTAATAACAAGTTTCTACTAATAACACGAATTAATCTCATTAATTTGTCTCCAGGAGTTAGTAGGTTGTGAACATGTTACTTCCTGAGATTGTAGCTAGCTTGGTGGTAGAACATTGCCTAGTATGAACAAGGCCCTGAGTTCTGTCTCAAGCATGGCAAGGAAAACATGAATATATAGGACATGAGGCTCCAATGTAGAGATCCTTATCACGTTTACTACATTGTCTGGACAATCAGCAGTGCACTTCAGTAGCATATTTTGCAACATTAGTTAATAAGAAAGCTAGATGACTTGTGGAAACCCTCTGTAGAAATCTCAAAATAATATAATGCTTTTTTTATTCCCCCTAAGTATGAAGAAACTGCAGATGACATATCAGTGCTGGTAAGTGTTTATTTAAAAATATGCCATGACCTGTCATCTGAGGACAAAGTTGGTTGAAAGGCTTGACTACCCATGAATCCATGTCTCCTTCAGTCAGATTAAACCAGCTCCGTTTTATAAACACATGCCAGGTTGCTATGCCAGGAAAAAAAAGCAGGTGGGCAGAGTGCCACATCTGATGGAGGGGTAGGAATAGCTAGGGCTATTTGTCAGCAGGAGGCAAAACTTAAACCCTGTGAACTTCGTCTCTTTGAAAGCCCTGGGCAAGCACACAAGCACAAGGCTTGATTAAAGACTGCCAGGAGCCACGGTCATGAAGTCTCTCAGCAACATGACTGCCTAAGCGTGAGCTGAACAAGGACATCACCAATAGACAGGACTAAGTGTACGGGGAGGGGCTACCACAGGACCTCAACCCTGCACAAAGAACCACACACACAAGAAACGCTGAGAGTGGGAGAAATTGTCTTCTCTAGGGAAGAGAACACCAATTAGATATCCGATATCAAATAGTCAGATCTGAAAACATACATACAGGTAACATTATACGGACCAAACAGGTTATATTTAAGAATGTGTGTATACATATATATGTATATATATATATGCATGTAATCAAAGAGTTAATGAAAAAAGAGGCCATGAATTTGAACTAGAGCAAAAAGGGGGCATATGTGAAGGTTGGAAGGGAGGAAGGAGAAAGGGGAAATATGAATTAGGGCATAACCTCAAAAATAAAAGAAATAATAATAAAAGGCCATCAGGAGATTGCAGTAGCCTCCTAATAGTGGATTTGGAGAGGATTGTCATGGGAACCCACAGTGGTGAGCAGCATCTATGATATCTGATGCTGACTGTGTCCAGCACTGTGTCTTGTGATGATTCTGTGACTTACAGCATCCTGAGTGGACCAGGTCTGCCTGGGCCATGCATGAAAGGGATTGAGAAGGAAGAGAGCTGTAGGCAGTGGTGCTCACTTGTGATCCCAGCACTAGAGCATGGGGGCAGCAAGATCAGGAGCTCAGTGTTACTTAGCTGCACAGTGAGTACAGGGCCAGCCTGGATAGACAACAACAATATACAAAAAAGTATGTTTCCTCTCTCAGTAGGACAGCAGCTTTTGGTTACTCCAGTGTAACAGAACCCCCCCCCCCCCCCCGGGAAAGACAGAAACATTCAAGGAGTGTCCACTGCAGAAGAAGGTGGAAGAGGGAATGGGTTAATATACTTCCTGGAAAATCTACTTATTCATTTATTATTTTCTTTCTCTCTCTTTTCCTTTCTTCTTCCTTCCTTCCTTCCTTCCTTCCTTCCTTCCTTCCTTCCTTCTTTCCTTCCTTACTTCTTTTTGAGACAGGTTTCTCTGTGTAGCTCTGGTTGTCCTGGAACTAGCTCTGTAGACCAGGCTGGCTTTGAACTCAGAAATCCGCCTGCCTGTCTGCCTCCTGAGTGCTGGGACTAGAAGTGTGCCCCAGCATCCTCCACTCTAGCAAACGGATTTGCTATCATACATTCCAACAATAATGCCTCCTATTATCATTGGTTCCTCTAGAGTTGGAGTTCTTTAACCTAGTGCACCAATACACACCATCTGAAGGCAATGGCAGTCAGAGTTAGAGTGGAATGCCATTCCTTGGTCACTCCCCACCCTCAATATAGTCATATAATCTACAGCACAACCCAGCTCCATGCCTGACCAATCTCTTCACCAGCTCTGCTCAAGATGAAGTCTCCACAGTGCCCTTCTACCTAGGCTGCCATTAGAGTGTGGGGCAAAGAGGAAAAATGACTTCAAGTATGATAATAAAAGATCTTTGTGCTTCAATTTCCTTATCTAGTAATATGGGGATGAGAATAATAATGATGGTGATAGCATCTAACAGAAACAATAAACAAAGGCACGGCAAGGCAAGGGAGCCCAATTTCTATGAGCTTGTGGCCAGCCAGGGCTACAGAATAAGACCCTGACTCAAACAAAACAAACAAAAATCCAAACAATTTAGAGGCAGAGATAAATTTGGAAGTGAGATGTCAGGAAGCTGAGGGAACTTTAAATTCTCCCTGTGCCAGGGAAGTGGACAGGGGAACTAGGGAAGCCATGAAGGCTGCTGGGCAGCACAGTCTCCATGCTGATACTATTGGAGCTCATCTGTATTGTTCATTGTGGACTTTATATCTTAGACTATCTTTCCTTTAGGTCCCCGGAAAACCAGCCAGAACCACAGCTGCCAACAAACTGGTTTAATTCCACGTAAGAATGCAAATCTGAATCTGTGAAGTGAATTCATGAGTGTTGATAGGTGGCACCGATGGCACTGTCGGAAGTGTGTGTGCTTAGTGCCAAGGAGGCAAGAAGGGCATTGGATTCCTTGGCCGGGAGTTATAAAAGTTTGTGAGTTACCTCAGTGCTGGGCACTAAACTGTGGTCCTCTGCAAGAGCAATACACACTCTTAGTGGTTGGACCATCTTTCTAGTCTCTTCTTTTCTTTCTTTCCTTTATTTGCTTTTTTTTAAATATACATTTCTTGAGACCTAGTCTCAGTCTATATACAGCCCATGCTGACTTGACCTCAGTTGTCTCAGCCTCCTGATGATTGGGCCATTTCTAATATGATGCTTCTCTGGTTTATCATGGATTTGGATTAGACACAGCGGGATGCTGCCTTCAGATACAAGGCCTTGGGCTAGACACAAAGGAATGTTATCTTCAGATACAAGGCCTTGGGCTAGACACAAAGGAATGTTATCTTCAGATACAAGGCTTTGGGTTAGACACGGTGGAACGCCACCTTCAGTTACAAGGCGTTGGGCATTGGTAGTAACTCTCCTGATGCCAGGATGACATATTTTACTTTAAAATTCTGTCTTTCTTACAGATACAGCATGAACTCGACACACATGCGCATGAGAACTACCAACTGGTCAGCTCCGATTGTGTGGACCGACACGTACAATTAGTCAGCCTTGAAAAAGTATTATAAAAAGCATCCGGTTGCCGTGGGGCTGGTTGTGTTTGCAGTGGGGAGGTAATAATGTCAGGTGTCCCTTACACTCGGGCTTTTCATTGTAGGAAGTGGGGACTAAGCTGCTTTAGAATTATTCTCTAAGCCAATTCTTGCCATAATTCAAAATATCACCTCTCACATGATCCACACCAAAGGATCCCAATTCCCCAGGTTCCCTCTATGATCTGATCTTCATGATCTTCCTCCAATAATAACTTAATTTCGTGGGTCTTTTACCAGTCATCTTAAAATAAGTTTATACCTCTGTTATAACCACTCCTCACTATCCCTGCATTTAAGCATTAAGTAATTTTCTCTATCCTATGTACCCCCGGTGATAAGTAACTGCCTTTTGAAAATCCCACTTAGCTCTGCATATCGACTCTCAGAGGAACAGAACAAACTAAGGGAGCTGCAGCCATATGCGGCAGAATTTTTATATGCTACAGTTTTCTGACCACTAATCATAAGGTTAAAAAACAAGCCTATAGCTGGGCGGTGGTGGTGCATGCCTTTAATCCCAGCACTAGGGAGGCAGAGGCAGCTGCTGAGGGGTGCTGCTCCACATGGGCATAGCTCAGGAGAGACAGGCCCAGTCTTAGCATCTTTGTTGGGGTAGCAGATCTTCCAACAGCATTGTGACTTAGCGAGGCCAGTCTCTTCCTTCTCTTTTCTCGTGTACATGCTTAATATTACAACACCTGTGTAGAACAGTCCACTCAACAAGCATTCTTTCTAGATGCGTGAAGTATTCTCTGTGGTAGACCATGTTTAGACACGAGAGTGAAATAAATTATAAAACTAAAACTGAACGAAATGTCTTCTATGATCACATAGGAATGAAAAATTTTAAATCAATTATAGGATAAAACAAGGAAAATTCATAAATATGTGAACATTATATTGGACACTACACACTTTTTTAAATTTAGCTTACAAACAATGGATTTCATTATGACACTTTCATACATGTATGTAATTGTGCTATGCTCATAGTCACCTCTCGTTAGTGAGACTGGGTGACTACACCTTCTTAACTGATACCATATCAGGCTTTCAACTGATTAATTAAATGGACCCCCTTTTAAGAGCTGTCCTGCACCACTTCGTCTGTAAAAATTAATGCAGACAGATGCTGGGCAGCAGTTAAAGAATACAGCAGCTTAGAAGAAGACAGAAGAGAACGTTTTCATTAGCTAACGGAGGTTTCTGAACCGGTCACAGACATATGGGCAGCTAGGACCCCCTTTATTTGAACGGCAGCATCGAGCACAGAACAACTTCAGCAATGCTGTTCATACTTCACAGATAATATTAGATGTCCTACAACGTCTTCTCCTGACCGTTAGTTATGGTTTATCATTAGCCTGTTTCTCAAACTGTAGACCAGTATCCAGGACTTATTTCTAAGGATTCCATAGCGTTACTGGAGTGTAGCCCCAAATGACTGCCCTTCCTCTTTCAAACTTGCCTGAGTCCATCATCGCCCCGAGAATCTCTTCATGGTTTCCAAGAGTGGAAATGAGAAAATGTTTTCCAGCGCAGTGATCCTGCTCCCGCAGGAAGGCTCACGGTACAGAGCAACGCGGGCTAGAGTGCCAGCTACTACACTGACTTGGTACGCAGAGCCGGCCGTGCACGGAAGGCCCAGCTGCAGGAGCCTAAGCAGACATCCTTCACCTTCCCCTCTGCATTGCCCTGGCAACCCTGAACTCTGTCCTTCGCTTTGCACACAGCTCAAAACGTGCCTCCTTACCTCGCTAGCTTCCTTTCCCTCTCACGAAGAGCCCCTCTTCCGTCCCATGATCTATAGACCCCGTTAGTGTCCCTTTCTCCTGTACTGCTCAACGCGAATAGGGGCTATCTGGTTGCTTGGTTGCGTTGCTGGAAAAGCTAGGACCAGGCAATGGAGACTGTGTATGTTCCACACAAACTGGAGGAGGAAACTCAACTGCTTCTTATTTATTTTGCAGATACCTTGGGTACTACTTGGGTAACTTTCTGATATCTGCTAATACGTTCTTCATGGTCGACCAAAGGGTCATCATTTACGTCATGTTGGACGACTTTTCCTATATGCCACTGATAAGTCTGAATCGTCTCCGGACGTATAAAATTTTTAAAGTTAAGCGAGAGAGGAGGTGGCAGGACTTCAGTATGATGCGCATGAAGACCATCAGTGAACACATCGCTGATCACATCCAGCATGAAGTGGACTACGTCTTCTGCATGGATGTGGATCAAATATTCAAAGGCAGCTATGGCCTGGAGACCCTGGGCGAGTCGGTAGCTCAGTTACACACCTACTGGTATAAGGAAAGAGCGAACAAGGTGCCTTATGAGAGAAATGAGGCGTCAGAAGCTTACATACCGCTGGGGCAGGGGGATTTTTATTACCACGCTGCTGTCTTTGGAGGCACAGCCACTCAGGTTCTCAAGATTACTACGGAGTGTGCCCAAAGAATTATGAATGATAAGAAAAATAATATCGAAGCAGTCTGGCATGACGAGAGCCACTTGAATAAGTATTTCTTTCTCCATAAACCTACGAAAATCTTGTCACCAGAATTTTGCTGGGATTTACGTAAGGATAAGACTCCTGATATTGAGGCTGTTAAGCTCTCTTGGAATTCTAAGCATTATGAATTTCTTAGAGAGGAAGTATAGTCCCCTTGCCCTTGCCTCATATTTCTGAACTGAAGAGTATCAGTTTCCTTGGAAAATTAGTACCTGGCATATTTTCACGATAAAAATCCGTTACCAAATGGCAAGCCCACCAACAGCGAAGTCACCTTCGGCTCACCTCCGTGCTGAGTGATGCAATAAGGGGCAGAGGGGTCACAGGGTGAGTCCGCTGGAAGCAGACGGAGAGGCGGTAATTTCGCATTGTGCGGATGCTGCAAACATAGTGTGCTAGCTCATGATGGAACAGAATAGATCCTGGGACTAGAAAAGGACACGAAATATCCCAGCTGACGAGAACCCATGGTCTTGTGGCTGCTTTCTTCAGGGATGTCGTCGCTGCTATATTGAATCAGAGAAGCTGTGGTCATTTTTGAAGCCCTCACAAGATAGGGTCCATCAACATTCCCTCATGGGAGGAGGGAAGGGCTCATGAGATTCATGAGGCTCCTCCATGCCCCCCGAAGATACATAAATGGTTAATGGTTTCTGGAAAAGAAAGAGGCTTTTTGTGAATGTAACTAGACAATAAATTGTCCATGATCTTTAAGTAACAGCAATAAACTCTTTGACTCACTAAGGTAGACTGGAATAGAATAATTTCTTTAATCTATTGCTATTTCCTTTATCTGGGATGAATTATAAGCACACTTCCCAGGAAAAGCCTTGTAACACTTGGTACCTTCATAGAAACAACAGAACCAAAGATGAGTCTTGTAGGTGCAGTTGTATGGCCCATTACAATGGTTAACGCATGCAGCTGAGGCTGAACGGTCTGATGTTGGAGTGTCTTCAGGGACTGTTCTGAAGGAACACTTCCATGGGGCATTGGTATGCGGTGGGAGGCCTTCTTGCTATTGTGGCTACTATATAGACCCTGCTATGGGTAATACGACATGCAGTTGAGGCTGAGGAGGAGTGTCCTGACGGGGGATTCCAGAGTGGACATCTTTATGTGATGCAGAATGGAGTGACCTTTGATAAATGGGGTATGCCCCAAAAGTGGCTAATAGGTTAAAGGATGTATTGAGATCCCTGAAAATAGCACACTTGGAATGAGGATATGTGCATACTCTGGCAGCAATGTCATGGCCTCTGCTGTAGGGACGAGACAGGTGCTGAGGCTGAGCTGTCTGCCTGGAAAGAACTTGCCTGCAAGGAGAAGTCACAGTGAGAAAAGGGCACGGAGATGCTGTGCTCTGCCTCAGCTTCTGGAGTTTGTCAGTAAATGTGGAGAGGAGAGAGGACAGAGGTGAGGAGACCCCGACATCGGATATTTATTATTTGTTTGTTTTGTGTGTGTGTGTGTGTGTGTGTGAGAGAGAGAGAGAGAGAGAGAGAGAGAGAGAGAGAGAGAGAGAGAGAGAGAGAGAGAGGGAGGAGGGAGAGAGAGAGAGAGGAGAGGGAGAGAGAGAGGAGAGAGAAAAGAGGGGGGAAGAGGAGAGAGACACAGAGGCAGAGAATGCATGCAATGCCATGTACGTGTGTAGGAGCCTGTTCTCTCCCTCCACAGTGAGTTTGAGGATGAAAACTCAGGCTGCCAAGCTGTGGCAAGCATTTTTAGCCCTTAGTCTGTCTCAACAGCCCACATCTACCTTTTAACACAGAGAAAAGAAATATCCAGAGCTCAGTTTTAGTAAAATAATATTAAGAGCTACACTATTCAGGATCTGGGTATTTAAAAGAAGGGGTTTCCAGGCTAAGGTTGGTCCCCAAGATGACGGACTCTATCTCGCATATAAACTCCAGGAGCTCGCTCTGTGGGTTCATGTGACAAAGTAGCAGAGAGCAGTTACTCCAGCACGGCAGGCAGGATGTCTGGCGATTGAAAGCCAAGACATAATTCTATTTGTGAATAAAAAATGCCTTACTCATAGGAAGGAATGAGATGTGTCTGAAGCAGGTGTACTGGGATGAGAAAGTGAAAGGAGCAGCGTGTGTTTCACATGCTGACACTTGTAGTCCTCTATTGAATAAAAGAAGCCGTGTGTTTAAAACATACGTGCCTGTATGGACAACGAGAAAATATTAGAACAAACCACATGAAGCCCATATCAGTGTCTGGTACTGAGGAAGAAGGTCGGGTGCTAAGCAGAACGACTCAGTGCGAGTCAAATCTCCTTTTTTCTATTGGAATTATTTAGCATGTGCACATATGCATACATATACTTGTATCTCAGGGACAAAAGCAAGATTGGTTTTAAAGGTGAGGGGAAAATAAAGGTCCTTGTCGTCTCAAATTACATATGGCTGTCTCGGTGAGTGTAATAGCATCACTGCATTTACCATCTTTTCCTTGTGCTTTCTTGCTCCTTAGTGACCTGAAACTGCGTTATTTCTACAGTCATGAAAGTAAGCACCACGAAACATCCTGAAATACAATGAGGTGGAAACAGCTCTGCCTTAGATGACAATGTCGAAAACCATGTCTTCCATTCACACACATCATTCAAAATGCATGTCCTTAAGTAAAAATCATTTCTAAAGAAAGGCAAGAAAAACAGCAAAGGAAATTCAAATCAGAATTCTTTTAAAAAACCTCCTAAGTTTTTCAGATGAGACAAGGTTCTATTTTTAGTAGTCAAAGGACAACATGTTACCTCGGGTGTCATTGTGACAGCAACTTCTAATGCTCCCATCATCAAAAGAACCTGGTGACATCACCAGGAGGAGAAGGGCGGCAACAGGAGCGATCACTCAGTACCTCACTCGGGGTTTTGGTTTTTCTACCGTTCCTCTTTACATGATCAAAACTAAAGGTAAAGTGACGGTAAAGAAAGGAGGGCAGGAGGTTTTAGATCATCACGGTGAAGTCATAGCTGCCCCTGATTTCCAAGTGTGGGTCTAATTACACAGAACAGTTGTTGGCAGAGGTTTCTGTCCTGCCCTGTTCCCGCAGCCATTCAGTCCCAAAGAAACACACAGAGGTCTACATTATTATAAACTAGTTTGCCTAGTAGCTCAGGCTTCTTATTCATTATTCTTATATCTTAAACTAGCCCATTATTCTTGGCTATGTTAGCCATGTGGCTTGGTACCTTTATCAGTGAAGCCTTCTTGTATTGCTTCCTCTGTGGCTGGGTCACGACTCCATACTGACTCCCCTCTTCCCAGAATTCTTGTTGCCCCGCCTCTACTTCCTGCCTGATCACCCCACATATATTTCCTGCCAGGTCACCCCTCGTATACTTCCTGCCGGGTCACCCCTCATATACTTCCTGCCTGGTCACCCCTCATATACTTCCTGCCAGGTCACCCCTCATATACTTCTTCCTGCCTGGCTACCGGCCAATTAGCATTTACTTAAAATACAAGTAATAGGGTACAGACCATTGTCCCACAGCACCCCCTCCTTTTCTTAAAACTCTGAATCAAATCTTTCTTTAGCTTTTCTACTGACCATTATCCATAACAAACAATAATAGGTGGTATATCAATGTATTCCTGACTTTGGAGAATAATGTCATTACAGGCTCCTAGACAAGAAGTCACTTGGCTAAATGAGCCACAGTCTTTTACTTCACACAAACTTTGTCCCAACTGACCTTGAATTTAAATAGTGACCATTCCACATGGCTGTTGGCACTTCAAGTTGTGCCCAGGGTTATATTATCTACAAAAGAACTTTCCAACAGGAATGTAAGTCATGTTTGTCTCCTTGAATATTTGAGGGGATACATTATAAAGAGGTGAAAAGAAACAGATAAAACTTTAGTCAAATATTTTCTTCAACCCATATTTCTAAAATTTCATTTCAACTGTGATTAATATTTAAAAAAAAATCCCAAATCCCTGCCCCCTCTCTGTACTGTCTCTGTATAGCCCTGGCTATCCTGGCACTTATTATGCAGCCCAACCAGGCTGGCCTCAGACTCACAAGACCTTCCTTCCAGCTCTGCATCCCAAGTGTTTAAAGGTGTGTGTACACTACACATACCTTTTTGTTGTTCACACTCTACCTTTTAGTCCAGGAATGATTCACACACTCACTGCTCGTGTGACTGGTGGCTGTTCGTTAAAAGCTACACACCTAAAACTCTTTGTTCATCAAATAAATGTTTAAAAAATTAAGCCTTTGTGTTGCTCCAGTACCAAAAGGCAAGACCTACTCCTGAATGATGCGTGCCAAAGCCCAGTTTGCATACCCCGGCAGTACACACTTAGTGCATCAGTGAGGGCTCAGTGCCAATATTTAGACATTTCCTGCTTATGAGGACATACCTAGGAGACAGCGAATATATTGTGAGGTGATTAGTTCTGAGGTCTTTTGAACCTATTTTTTTTTTTTTGGCTTTACTATCTTTGTAATATACTTTGTTTGACAGTAATCAGGATTCAGACACTGAAGTTGGTGGCCAAATTTCTACAAATCCACTTATTGGAAGACACTAAAGAAACTTGGTTTGTTTGTTTGTTTGTTTGTTTTTTAACCTTTAACTGAAATCTCTTTTTCTTCTCTTTTTTTATTCTTTATTTTTTTAGGAGGGAATGAATTGTAAAAGAGAAATGCTGTCACTAATCTTGCTTGCTTTTTTGCTGGCGTTATCTAAATACCACCCCAGGTAAACATGAAACCCTGGTGCATCTTAGCCAATACATGATTGATATAGCTGACCTAAAATGCCGTGCTTTTACCCAGGGACGTTCAGGCACTCTCCAAGTTAACTTTAAGAGAAATCAGTTTTTCTTTGGTGAACATATCCATTAATTCTTCCATAATTTTTCAACTTTCAAGAGTATTGATCAACACCAGGCCATGGCAGCACATGACTTTAACCCCAGCACTCAGGAAGCAGAGACAGGTAGATCTCTGTGAATTCAAGGTCAGCCTGATCTACAGTGTGAGTTCAGGAAAGCAAGGCTACACAGAGGAACCCTGTCTCAAAAACCCAAAGAGAGGGGCTGGAGAGATGGCTTAGTGGTTAAGAGCACTGAGTACTCTTCCAGGGGTCCTGAGTTCAATTCCCAGAAACCACATGGTGGCTCACAACCATCTGTACTGAGATCTGGCGCCCTCCTCTAGCATGCGGGCATACACGAAGGCAGAATGTCATATACATAATAAATAATTTTAAAAAAAAAAAAACAAGAGAAAGAAAGAGACAGAGAGAGAGAGGAGAAAGAGGGGAGAGAGAAAGAGAGAAAGAGAAGAGAAAGAGGGGAGAGAGAAGGAGAGGAGGGGAAGGGAGGGGAGGGGAGAGAGGAGAGAGGAGGGAAGAGGGGAAGGGAGAGGGGAGGGGAGAGGGGAGGAGAGGGGAGGAGGGAAGAGGGGAAGGGAGAGGGGAGGGGAGAGGGGAA